TCTCTCTCTCTCTCTCTCTCTCTCTCTCTCTCTCTCTCTCTCTCCTCTCTCACTCTATCTTAAAAAAAAATATTATATATAAAGACAAGTAGTGGGCTGGACTGCCCAACTCTATTGTAGATTAAAGGGTATGAAAAGGGCATGATAATCAAATCCTGAGCAGACCCTGGATTAAAATTAAGAATAAAAATTAACGATTGTTAAAAAGGGAACTTTGGGAACAACCAAAGACCTACATATTAAGTAATACTGCTATCAATATTATTTTTAAAAAAATTGTTTTAGTTGTAGATGGGCATCTTTATTTTATTTATTTATTTTTATGTGGTGCTGAGGATCAAACCCAGTGCTTTTCTTCTCTGTTACGTCTATAACATACACAACAGCCCTGACTTGGTGCCAAACACTGACTTAACATTTACTCATGAATTCTCACAATAACACAATATTATTTATAACATAAAAGCATATATAGCTGGGCATGATAGCACATGCCTGTAATTCCAGTGAATTGGGAGGATGAGGACAATTACAAGGTCAGAGCTAGCATCAGCAACTCATCGAGGCCTTAAGCAATTTAGCAAGACCCTGTCTCAAAATTAAAAATAAAAAGGGCTGGGATGTAGCTCCGTGGTTAAGCACCTCTGGGTTCAATGCCCAGCACACACACAAAAAAGTATGTATTTTATATATATATATATATTATATTAGTATGTACATAAAATGAGAATAATTCTAGTATGTATTACATAATGATCTGTAAGGGTTTAATCCCATAAGTGCTTGGTAGCACTCAGCCTGAAATAAAGTAACTGCCCAACAAATGTTGCTATTATACAATATCCTTCATACAGAAGAAGAAACAGGATCAGAGGAATTCAATGACTTGCCCAAAGGCACCAGCCTGAGAAGGGGTGGGACCAGGATTCTAATCCATGTCATTTTGACTTCAGAAGTCATTTTCTAAACCACAATGCAAGACATGTCATAGTATTTGGAAGAAAGGCAGTGGCACGAAACAGATGAGGTGTGGGAGTCCAGAGTTCAACTCCTGCCTCTGGTACAAGCCTCCTATATGAGCTCAGCATTCACTTCTGGCCCCCCACCAAGCTTCAGCTTTTCCTTCATACAATGGAGGAAGTCCTCTCCGCTTCCTGACATTAGGACAAATTAGTTGTGAGGGTCAAAAGGGATAGATGAGATGAAAGCACTCTGGTAAGTAACTATGGGACCTAACATTTTTTCCTTTCTAAGACCTGCAACCCTGACAGAGGCTCCATCAAACACCAAAGGATCAAGAATTCTCAACCTTGGGCTGGGGTTGTGGCTCAGCAGTAGAGCACTTGCCTAGCACACAGGAGACCCTGGTTTGATCCTCAGCACCACATAATAATAAATAAATAAAAAGTATTTTAAAATAATAATTATATATAAAAAAAAAGAATTCTCGACTTTATAGGAGGAAAAAGGCTCCTCTTAACCATTTGGCTTTGGCACACGCTCTACCCTTGGCCTCAACAAGGGACTACAACCCACCACCATCACCACACCTTTGTGTTGTCTGGTGCAACTCTCCTCAATCCTCAAGTCCCAGTACAGATATTTCCTCTCCCAAGAAGCCCTCACTGAACCTCATGCCAGGTCAGTACACAAGGAGATTCCCCCATTCCAGCTTGGCTCATCTGGGTTGTCACTGTTGGAGGATGGGTCTGTCTCCACTGGACCCAGAGTTCCTTAAAGATAGTAACTGGGACCATCTTGGACCCTGTGGGTTTTTTTTTTTTTTTTTTTTGAGAGAGGGTCTCATTAAATTATTTAGGGCCTCACTAAATTGCTGAGGCTGGCCTTGAACTGTATTCTCCTGCCTTGGCCTACAGTCTCTAGGATTACAGGTGTGTGCCACCATGTCCACCTGGACCCTGCTGTTTCAAGCTCTGTCAGCACAAGTTCTGGAACAGAATAGATGATCATAAAATACAAGCTAAATGAAGTAATGGGTAATATTTGGTGAAATGCTGGTTCCCTAAAACAGTAACTTACATTAAAGTCTCTTATTTTATGCCCCCATCGGCCTATGACACATAGATCATCTTTTTAAAGTTGCTTATATTTTGGGCATTTGCTCAAACGCCCTTCTAACTCAGCTCAGGCAGCTCCCCTCTAGCCCTTGGGTCCAATGAACTCAAGTGCTCCCTGCTCCCTGACCACTCTGGGTGACGCTGACATGTATCTCCTAGTGCCTAGCAAAAGGCCTGTCGATCTGAATGAATGGACGGTGCATCAGAGAATTAATGAATACACAGATGAATGTCCACTCTGATTTAAATTCCCCTTCGCCAGATTCAAGTCAAACCCTCAAACTGAAGACTTTAACCCACCACCACCACCACGCCTTTAATTAGGTCTATTCTACGAAGTAACACTATACAGCACGCCGATGTTCTAATAAATGATATATAAGTATCTCCCACTTCCGGGGCAGAAGGGAAATTAAGGCAAGGGTTGAAGCTTTGAGAGCAAAGTCACCGAAGGATGGTTAGGTAAAAGACCCGACACTGGTTACCCCGTATACCAGCCCCTAGCTCCTCGCCGTCCTGGAAAGCCCCGCCCAAATTGCTCCCATTCCACACACTATTGGCTGGCCTTGACGTCAGTCTCCACAGCTTCTTCCTCTATTGGCTGATATTCTAATCTCGCGCGGTGACGCCCCTTCCCACCTCTTACTCCAAGCCTGTCCTCACCATTGGGTTACCACCAGGTCCCTCTTTCAGGAGCCCTCCCTATTGGCTGTAGGACTTTGCCGGTTCGGGCTGTGACTGGTCATGGAGAGAAGTCCATCCCCTGAGCAACCACCTGAGAGGGGTCGGAGAATGGAAAGGTTGGAGGGACAAGGGGTCGGACTCACGCTGAGCCGGCGGAAGGCAGATATAGGTCTTGAAGAACTCGCTTCGGCGGGCAGCCTCCTTAATGCGGTTGGCAAGCGGCTTGCTGACCTGCCGGATGCCCAGGTATAGCAGCTTCGCCATGGGGAACGCGCCTACCACCATCTTGGCGGTCGCACTGGGCACGCGCAATCCTGCCGATTGGGCGGGGCGCCTCCGACCTCTCCACTCCTCCCCCGCCCTCTCGGCCGTGCGTGCTTGCGTGCGTGCGTACGCACGCTCGGGGATAACTGCAGGGGCGCTCCGTGACGCCACCGCGTCGACGCTGGCGCCTCGACGTCTGCTCGTTTAATATGCAAATTAGGGCGGAAATGAGGCGACTGTGGATGTTGCCGTTAAACGGCTCCTGGCGGGAGCGTGGATGGAGTCTCGAGTCCCGCGTGGCGTGATGTCACTGCGCTCTTGCGTGATGTCACGTACTGAGGAGCCTTTCACGCCCAAAGAAGGCTCTTAATTAGACTAATTAGGTCTAATGAGCCCCAATTACACCGTCTTGCACAAGTTAGAGCCCTCCTTGGGAGTACAGAGAGGAAAACGGCATTTATTTGCTGTGTGATAATGAAGGAGTGACAACCTTTCTGGACATCATTGTTCCTGTTTACTTAATGGGACCCAATAGCACTTGCCTTATTGGATTGCTGTGAGGCTTCTATGCGAATCTTGAATATAAAACATAGTAGTGAATCCCATTAAGTGCATGGAATGGTGCCAGTGACATAGAAAGCACTCAGTAAGCAGCCCTTATTGCTCTAGGGGTAAGAGCATTAATATCGCTGACTCCAGCCCGAGGGGCATTCCACACCCAGAAGCAGCTAGCCTCTGTCCCTTCCCCAGGCAACTGACAGTCTGAAGCCCAGAGAGAGGCAGAGGGTGGCGCGCAAGATTTCTCACCCTCTGCAGAGTTGATGGCGGCATCTTGGCTAATAAAACCCTTTCTCAAGCTGCCCCACTTCCTCTTTTGGGGGGTGAGGGTCCCCAGGGAGATGGCTCAGGAAAGAGTTTAAGGACATGTCCCAGACTGCCCTCCCTTATCCAGCAGGGAGCAAAATCATATAAACAAGGTCAGAAGGGGTTGAAAGACATGGCTGGGTGGTGGAGTGCTGGTGGGTGGTTGAGTGATTGCAGGGGAGGCAGAAGGACGGGGTGAAGGAAACCATTCAGGATGGTCAGGGCCCCTCCAGTTTTCCCCAGCATCCTCTGACTCTCTGAGCGTGCTGTCAAGTTCCTGCCTCCAAGAGACCTGGGTTCCTTCATTTGTAATGGAGGCACTGTGTGAAGCAGATACCCTAAATTAAGTATGTGGACTCCATAAAAACAACCCATGCCAGCATCCCTCTGGACCAAATTGAGGGAGCCGGGGCCTATTTAAAGCCCATCATCCACTTGGGACCAGCCCTCTTCCTATTTTACAGACTGGCCAACCAAGGACAGAGGATGGAAAGAATTCCAGACCACCTTCTGATCTCATGGAGCCCAAGAACCCCCATGATGGGTTCGGAAACTTGTTTGTGACTTTTTGATGTACAATCCACTGTTTCTTAGCTGTTAATACAGTTTCTGGCACATAGTAGGTGCTCAAAAACATTTTCTTGAATGAATGGGAATGAATGAGCATTTGGCGAGAGGAGGGTACTGAGGCTTCCACCAGATTCTCCTAGGGAAATGTGTTGAAGAAGTTCCCAGCCCGACTGCTCTATCCCAGCAGCTTCATGGTGATGGGACAGGTAGAAAGCCCTTCCTCATGATACCCCAACACCAAAACCCAACTCCTTCCCCTCTGGACTCTGCTCGTCCCTACTCCACCTCAGCCCCTCCACATCTCCTCATTAGGTTCCTTCCCCTCCACTCCTCTCTTTATCCTCAAAGGGTTTCCAGGAACCTCTTCTGGAACTTCTGGGGCAAGGGTGTGTGTGTAGGGGACTCTTCCATCTCAGCAGCCTGTTTACACACCCTTTGGGAGGGAGGAGGAAGAGAGATCTCTTGGGAGGGACCAGGCCTATCAAAGCCATTGCTTCCTCCTTCTCTCCAGCCTGGTTATAGAATAACAGTCATTCCTAGTGACCCCTGAGGCCAGGAGAGGAAGAGGGACACCATCAGTCCTGGCAGGCAGCGTTGGCCACCCTGGGGCGTGGGAACACATGCACAGATGCGGAGGGAAGAGGGAGTCCAGGGTGGCCCCAGCATTGACTCACCATCCACAAGACCTTGGACCCCTGGCCCAGCCTCCCCACTGACTGCCTTGGACTGGGGCCTTGGATCATTCCCAGAGGCCCTTTCCACTCAGGTCTCCGGGACACCCTTTCCCGGAATGGGTGAGTGGCTCATATTACACAACCCCACAGGCCTCTGCACCTCCTCCATCCAAGTACTCCTTCAAAATAAATCCTAAAGGTGGCCACTGCTCCTTGTTCAGCCCACCCCCCTCCCTCCCTGCCAGCATGAGGTCTCCTACCTCCAGTCTGCAGTCACCTCCCTGGGCTCCTGGCTCCTGCCTTCACCTCCACCTCATATTCTATGCTCCACGCAGCAGCCGGCAAGATCCTGACTTAAGTCACACTCGTTCTCTGCTGAGAGCCCCTCATGGCCCCCATGAATAAAAGACAGAGTCTTTGCAGAGACTTACTGGCCCGGCGTGCCCTGCCTGTGCCCTTCCAGTCTCAACTCCCACTCCTTTTGCCCTGCCTCCCTCAGCAGCCACGCTGCTATAGCTATGGTCCCTTAGAATCCAGATGCTCTTAGCCCAGGGCTTGCTCTTCCTTCTGTCTGGAATGTTCTTCCCACAGGGCTGATGGTCTCACTTCCTTCAGGCCTTTGCTAATAATCCTCCTCAGTGAGCCCTCCTCTGCCCCCAGTTTAGATCAGACCCCAGTCACTCTCTATCCCTTCAACTGGTTTTATTCTTCACCTTTCCACTTAGCAATTCCATACATTTTTTTTTTCCCAGTATGCGGAGCAAATCCAGAACCTTGTGCATCCCAGGCAAGCCTCTACACTGAGCTACACCCCCTACCCCGCTTAATGTTAATTTGAGACAGGGTCCTGCTAAATTGCCCAGTCTGACCTAAGACTTTAGATCTTCCTGCCTCCACCCCCAGAGTAGCTGGGATTGTAGGCTTGCACCACCATGCTCAGCTGATTTTTATTTTCATTAGTAGTAGTGGTGTTTTTCAATGGGTTGTTTTGTTTTGATTTTGGTACTAGGGATTCAACTCAGGGCACTCAAACACTGAGCCATATCTCCAGCCCTATTTTGTATTTTATTTAGAGACAGGGCTTACTGAGTCGCGTAGTCCCTGGCCTTTGCTGAAGCTGGCTTTGAATTTACAATCCTCCTGCCTCAGCCCCAGCTGGGATTACAGGTGTGTGCCACCACACCCAGTGAGATGGAGATTTGTGTGTTGTCGAGGCTATTTTCCAACTTCTGGGCCCAGTGAGCCTCCAGCCCCAGCCTCCCAAGTGGTTAGGACTACAAACATGCCGCTGTGCCTGGCTTGAATTCATTTTTGTACTTGTTTATTCTGAGCCCAGTGAGGACAGGCAGAGCCAGGGCTTTCCCATTACTGCGTCCCTAGCCCAACTCGGCCCAGGGCCAGGCATAGATCTCTGTGGAACGAATGAATGAAAGTACTCTTTCTCCTGTGGAGACTCCTGCCCAAGCCTGTGCTGCTCACACTGCCTCCAGGCAGTCTGCCCTGATTGCCTTTCACTTGGTTTCTGACATTCCTCTTCCTCAGTCCTGACTTGGAGAATGCTTTTTATCTAGAATCTCAGAATTGCTTTATCACTGTCTCCCAGATATGACCAGGGGGCAGGAAGTGTCACAAGAGCAAAGGTGATGACTATATAGTTGGTAAATTTCTCCATCTTCCCCTTGAGTCACAGATTTTTACTTCCGTGCTGTAAATAATTCTAATTTTCTCCATTTTGTCTTCACCTTTTGAAAACCAAATATTTGACTTAATTTACCCATCCCCTTCTCCAGGAAGGCCTCCAGGACCTCGGTGGCAGGGTCTGAGAGCCCATGGGACAAGGGTCACTGCTGTTCACCAGACTGCCCAGCACAGGGCTGGGGACAGTTAACTGGAATTGTTAGGGGGTCACAGAGTGGGAGGATGGTTGACCAGGGACACACAGACTCCATTCTTTTCCTATTTTCCTGTATTTTATGAATATTAACACAGCCTTATTTACATACAATTTGCATACACCAGAACTAGGGGAGAGGGGGTTTGGGAAAAGATGGGAGGATGGGGCTCTGCCCAGGCAGGTTCACTGTGCCGGCAGCAGCACCTTCAGCTGCACCTGGTCCCCCTGGGAGGGCGGAACTGCTGCCCAGGTGGCCGCCATGGCTTTGGCCACGCTGCTCCTCTTGGAAGTGAGTGGGGTCTCCAGCGTGAGAGAGGCATTGGCCATCTCCTGGGGCTTGTCACTGGCCAGGAAGCGCAGCAGGTTGTGCAGGGCCTTGGCCACATCGCTGCGGGCTCCCTCGTTGACGAGGCAGTAGAGGATGGGGTCGGCCACACAGTTGAGGCTGGTGAAGGCCAGCGAGCTGTGGTAGGCGGAGAACACGCGCTCCTCGAAGCCACAGTCCCAGGGGCGGCCCAGGTAGACGGCGCTGCGGGACAGCAGGAGCACGTGGTAGGGCGCGAAGCAGACCAGCACGATGGCGATGAGGCTGAGGGCCAGGCGCTTGATCTTGGCCTTCTCCTGGCGCTCGGTGGACACGCTGCCCCTCACCGCCCGCAGGATGCCCCGGTAGGACAGCAGCATGAGCGCCCAGGGGAAGAGGAAGCCCACGAAGACCCGGTAGAGGTTCATCCAGGCCACCCAGCCCTCCATGGGGAACTTCTCGAAGCAGAAGGTGTGGTTGTAGCGGTCTCGGAAGAGCTCATCGTGGAACAGGGGCGCCGAGTTGGCGCCCAGCTCCGTGGCCCAGACCACGGAGCTCACGGCCACGGCCGTCTTGACGCGCCGCAGCCGCGCGAACCTCAGCGGGTGGGCGACGGCCAGGTAGCGGTCCACCGAGATGCAGCAGAGGAAGGCGATGCTGATGTAGATGTTGGTGTAGAAGACGAAGCCGAAGAGCTTGCAGGAGCCGGGGCCGTGGATCCAGTTGTCGTGGTGCAGGAAGTAGTCCACCCACAGCGGCAGCGTGCAGATGTACAGCAGGTCGGCGATGCTCAGGTTCATCAGGTAGACGCCCAGCTCGTTGCGCTGCCGCACCTGGCGGTAGGCGGCCCACAGGGCCAGGCAGTTGGTGGGCAGCCCCACGCCGATGACGAAGATGTAGAGGGACGGCGGGAAGAGGTGGTCCACGCGCGAGTCCACGTGGCAGCCCTCCCACGTGCGGTTGCCCATCCTCGGCACCAGGGCTTCCGAGGCGCTTCCCCTGGCCCACAGGGCTTCCGGGCCGCGGGGGGCGGGAGGCCATCGGGCCCCCTGAGCCCCTCCTTGGAGGCTCAGGGGAACATGGTGGGAGGCTGTCACCCAGAAGGGAGGACCTTGAGGCAGGCTTGGCAGGGAAGGAGAAAGCTTGAGAGGGGAGAGGAGGAGCTACTCCCAAGGAAGATCTGGGAATGGTGGGATCAATAGAGGTCTATCAGTGGGGCATAAATAAGGAAGTCTGGGCTAGGGGACAACCGGGTGGGGAAAGAGGTCGTGGAGGAGATGAAGGCATCCACCGGTGGTGGTAAGAGGGTGATGCTTATAGAGGACCTAGGAAGTTAAGTGTAGCCACGTCGAAGTACTGGTGGAATGAAATGTTCTAGAACGCACAGGAAATCTATGGGACAGTGTTGAGATGGCAGGAGAATTGAAAAGATGAGGCAGTACCGGCAGGAGTGCTGTCATCTCCCGGGATCCTGGCAGGAAATAAGGAAATCACTATGGTCACCAAGAAGTAGAGGGTCCTGTGGGAGTGGGCAAGTAGGGAGGCCAGGACTGGGAAGGGCTGCTAGGAACAGGAAGGAGGTGAGGAGGGGCTGATCAGAGGAGGGTCAGGGGGCAGAGGAGGGACTCGGCTGGGGCCTGCCAGGTGGGAGGGGTTGGGATGAAGTGGCCCTACCTCACGACTCCAGGCAGAGTTGACATTGTAGGGCCTGTGGGGAGAGAGGACAGTGATGAGGCAGCGTGGACATCCCACCCACTTCTCCCATCCCCCTCCCCAACTCCTGCACATGACAGAGGCAGACCCTGGACAGCGTCTGCCTGAACCCCATCCTAAGCAACAGATCCCTGAGAACACTGATTTGAAGAGCCAGGTCTCCCCGCCAAAACAGATACTCAAATAAAGACCCACTCAGATTTTAGAACTTTCTCCAAGATGCCAAAAATTAGGCACATGTATCATATTATACTTCAGGAAACACCAAACTAGTCCAACCCTATCCCTTCATAGGTAAAAGAAGGGGTCCAGAGAGGATGGTCAGTTCCTGAAGGCTGCACAGCAAAGCAGTGATGGAACTGGGCCTGGGACCAGCCTCTTAGCCCTGACCAAGGAGCCTTGTTGTATTTTTTTTTAAGTTTTATTTTACTTTTAATTGACACCTAATAAGTAAACATTTATGGATACAGTGTCAGGGCACCCCATTTTTTGGTGCTGAGACCCAGGAAGGGCACCCCATTCTTGATAATGATGGTAATGGTGTAAGAACACCCACACGGCAGGCCCTGATCCAAGCCCTTCTATCATTATTTCATTTAAAGTTTGAAGAATTGCCGAAGGGCAGAAGGAGAGTAGTTATTCTCCCTTTTTGGCAAACTGAGGCACTGAGTCATTTGGAGACCTGTCCAGGGTCCTGATGGGGGGTCTCTGCTCTCAGCCCTTTGACCAGTTTTTCCAATTTGTTCCGTTTCCAGAATAACTGGGTAGAAAGGGGACTGAGAACCATAGCAGAGGGCCGAGGGAAGGACAGAGCCTCCTCTGGACTTGATCAAGGTCAGGGTGAGGGAGCAAGGGCAAGTCCTGAGTGGAGGCTGGCCAGCCACTGTCTCCCAGGGAGCATGTTCCTCACTGTCTCTTCTCCGCCTTCTCAAGGGAGAAACAGGCCCATCATCTCCTTGGTTCTGAGCTGATCCAAATTCAAGGCAAAAGACAGTCAAGGACCATGTCCCCGACCATCGTCAGCCCCAGAGAGAAGAACAGCGATGTCCTGAGTCACAGGCACTTTGAAAGCCATTCCTTTGAAGGGTCTAGGTCTGCACATGGTTCATTTTTTTTAATGTAAAGGGAAAAAAAAAGATCCTAATTGTAAGTGAAATCTAAGACACCAAAGAAGAAAGCGCCCTATGTTCTGGGTGAAATGAGGTGGATGCAAGAGGCCACCTCTGAAGAATCCTCAGGTCACACTTTGAAAACCACTGGTTAGGCTGGGTGTGATGGGGCCACCTGTAATCCCAGCAGTTTGGGAAGTTGAGGCAGGAGGATCGCAAGTTCAAAGCCAGCCTCAGCAAAAAGCAAGGCACTGAGCAACTCAGTGGAACCCTGTCTGTCTCTAAATAAAATACAAAATAGGGCTGGGGGTGTAGCTCAGTGGTTGAGTGCACATGAGTTCAATCCCCGGTACCAACAAGAAAAAAAAGAAAACCGCTGGTTAGCCAGCTGTGGTAGCACACATCTGTAATCCCAGCAGCTCTGGAGGCTGAGGCAGGAGGATCTAAGTTCAAAGCCAGCCTCAGCTGCTCCATGAGGTCCTGAGCAATGATGAGGTCAGACCCCATCTCTAAATAAAATATTAGGAAAAAGGCTGGGGATGTGGCTCAGTGGCTAAGCACCTCGGGGTTCAATCCCTGGTACCAACAAACAAACAAACACTGGTTGAGTGCACTGGACAGAGGAGGAAACTGAGGCCCAGAGAGAGGAACAGATGGACCACTCTGATGCGCATTCCTGAATGCCAGCCCTGCGCCACCTGCTTTCTGACTGCCATTCCGCCTGGCTCACCTCCCACCTGGCAGCCAGAAAGACCTTGTAACGTGGAAACCAGCGCTTGCTGCTTTCCTGCTTGAAACCCTCCGGTGCCTTCCAAATGGACCTGCAGTAAGATCCAAACTCCTGGCCCTGATGGCAAGGTTCTGCCCAGCCCACCTTGTCCCCTCCTCCAGTCCCACCTCCTCTGTGACCTCCTCCCAGCTTCAGACCCTTTCTTCTTACTCTCCCCTCCGTCTGGCTGGTGCTTCCTCCAGCTACCTCTCCCATCTTTCCAGGCTCCGAGGGCATCCCTCTCCACCTTGTCCCCACCACCCCAGGACCCTCTCCTGACATCTGCCGGGGCTGGTCTGTTTGCATCTGTCCATCTGTCTAGGATGGGCCTTCCAGGAGGGCGGGGACCTTGTGGGTCTTGTTGACTCCCTATGGCCAGGACCCAGGACAGTCCCAGCATACAGTCGGTGCTCAATAAGTACTCACAGAAGCCATTCCAGCCACTCAGAGGCCCTAAGGAGGACCCCCGGTGCTGGCCGACCCATCCCCCACTACACCTCCCTATCCTCCCCTGTAAGGCTGCACCCCAGGCCCAGAGGAGTCCCTGTGGGGGCTCCAGGGAGGGAGGAAGGAAAAGGCAGGATCTATGGCTTCCTAATTGACTTGGAAAGGTCAGTGCTAAGCCCTGCTCAGTAACTCCTGCCCCCTGTGGGGTCCTCTAGTAGCTGCTGTCCCCACCCTAGACTCATGACGGAGACTTCTAAGTCCTGTGGCAATGGGCAGGGACAGGGGTTGTTCCTGACTAGACCAGTACAACCCAGTCCCTCGCTCCTCTTGAAGCCTTCCACCCAGACCAAGTCATTCAAAATACTGTCACTCCTCGTTCCCTTTCCCCCCCTCTCTCTACCCCAGGTCGCCTCTCTGTTTGCCCCTGATTTCTCCCTCCTTCCTCTGTGACATATTGGAATTACTTTTCCTTCAGGAGCCTCAGTGTGTCCTTTTGCAAAAGGGGGCACAGTATTTGAGTGGAGACTGGCCAGCCACTGCAGCATGCAGCGTTTGAACAATTTTTACTCCACAGTCACTGGAGACCAGAGACAGGCGTGAGGCAGTTGGTAATGGCAGGGGACACCCACTAGAGCGGGAAGCCCCCTGCCCCACCCTCCCTAGACCCCAGGGCTCTGCTGAGACAGACCGGAGACATTTCCGGCAGTCAGAGGAAATACATTTCCCATTGCTAATTTCCTCCGAGAGAGCCAGTCTTGCCCACCCCTCTCCTTCCCCAGCCTACCTACATCTTGGGGGTGCCGGGCAGAAGGAGGGTATTCCAAGTCAACCCTCTGTCCTCCTCCACCCAACATCTGTCCACCATGAAACCCCCCAGAGTCAGCAAAAAATGTCAGACTCTTAGAATTCCACAATGCCACAGGCCTGTATGTGACATGTGCACAGCTATTTCTGACCTCTTTCTGAGACAGAGGGGGAAACCAAGGCCCAAGAACATGAGCCGGTTAAGCACTTTCCTTCCTAAATGGCTTTCTTTTCTTATTTCTGCATTTCTGTCATTTTTCACATTTGGGGGGAAAGACGTCTCTGACCCCTTTGAGAATCTTCTGGAAAATATGGATCTTCTCACCACAAAAAAAGGCAAGTGACCTGCAGTATCTCAGTGACCCTTCCTCACCTGCTCAGTTCCAGGGTCAAGACCCTGAAATCTATATCACCTCCCCTATTCAGGCTTTGTTGGGAAGGTAAACCCCCAAATCCCAAGCCCACAGGAAGCTTCCCACAACCCCCACCCCCACTTGGGTCCCCACTCTCTCCTTACAGAAGAGCAAGAGAGAGAAACTCTTGGTGGGGTGATACTGGGGGACAGGGGAGACGGACCCCCCCCACACTCAGCTGCTCAGGCCAAATAACTCCCTGGGCTGGCCAGCCACCCCACGTCCAGGAAGCTCAAGGACTTGGAGAGTGGAGAGGACAAGAGGAAGAAGTGATGCCGCCCCCCCCCATCCCCCCTCAACACTCACCAGCCTTGTCCCCAAACCCGCGCCACCAGCCGGCTCCCGCTTAGCCTCCTTCTGGGCTCCTGCTTACCCCCCTCCCCCAGCAGCCCCAGGGGACTGGCCAGCTCCGGTCTGCTCATTAGGGACGAAATGTGATCACTGAGCCTCGCTCCCCACCTGGTGCCCTGGCGGCCGGTTGGCGGAAACCAGGGGACAGTGGGGCCACCCCAACCTCCCTGCTGGGCCTCAGTTTCCCCATTTCTACCTGGGGGGCAGTCTCTAACCTCCCCTGTACCCTCAGCACCCAGCAGGGGTACTGGAATGCTCAGATGTCCCCCTCTGATGTTCTAGACGCCAGCGGTTCTCAGATCCTCAGCCGGTTCACGGCTCAGTTCTATTATAACATTCTAGAGCCTTCGCGCTCCCTTTGCGATTATTATTATCACGGCGGCTTTGTGAGCGCGCCCTTCTAAGTTTCCAATATTCCAGGACACTCGCATTCCAAGATTCTAAAGTTCTATTGTTAGAACGCTCTATGATTTTTTAAAAAAACATTCTATGACTTTCATAATCTATTATTAAAACCTCGGTGATTTTTATCTTTGCCCAGCAAACATGAATACGCATTTCCCTTTTAGTTTTTACAGAAATGGGAACATACTCTAAATAGGTGAGCCCCACTTCCTCTTTTTTCCCCCTGATCGGTTCCGTTTTTTAACCTTCCAGCAGCCTGAAGGCAAGACTGCGGGAGTCTGAGATACTCATTCCCGGAGGAGGCCGGGGCGATGCTGCCCCCAAATTCTCACCCCCAGGAACCCCAAGCTGGCTGCCTCCCTACCCTCGCTCAGCGGGCTCCCCTGTCCCTCCCTGCTTGCTCCAGCTGAGTTATTATTTGTCTAGACACAAACCAAATTATAGGCCCTGTCCCAGGGGCACAGTGGGCTTCCTGGGGAGGGTCAGGACAGTCCCCACTCCCCCACTCCCCCACCTCTCTTCCTCTCTTTCCTCCTTCTCTGAAACCCAAGCTGCTGCAGGCCCCTCTGCAACACCCTGCCAGCATGGTGTTGGAAATATGGAAATATTTTCTTTTCTCTGCTCCTGAAACCCTCCCTTCTGGACTGTGGCTGTTCATGCTCACCCTGACACCCCTCCCTTCTTACTGCCAAGACCTTCTTAATTAATCTGACTTAGTGACAGTAAAAGAAGCCAATTCTCTGGATTTTGGGCAAAGAAAGGCAGATCTCCAGATTTAGGCTTCAGTTGAACAAGAGTCCCCAGCCTGGTACTGACACACTAAGGGGATGTCTGCTCTTGGGCCTCAGTTTCCCCATCTATAAAATGGGGGGCTTGGCCTAGATGGCTCTGAGGGTCCTTTAGAGTCCTCAGCTGTGAACACTGCAAACGGCCAAGATTTCAAGACTCATCTGCTTGGAGGGATGGATGGGAATATGCTGAGAGATTTGACTTGAGGATCTCAAATCCCTCCTCTTCCCCTCCAATGTCCTGGGTTCAAGTCTTCTTAATAACATGATTCCTAGAGTCCTGGGAGTCCCGCCCCCTCCATCTCTCTCACCCTTTTCTACTGGGATTCCCCTCCCCAAAAGGAAAATCTTCCCATCTTCACCCCAAATATGAAGTCAAGTTCATTCAGAGACAAAGATGGTGGGATCTCTGTTGGTGGGTTCCAGTGGAGTAGGGCAGGTGGGGTCCTTCAGTGGGTCCTAGGGGTGGCCCTCATCTTCTCCATCTGTGCCCCCAAATTCCCCAATGCATTTGCAGCTGGAGCATGCGGGCAGGTGGCTGCACACACACCCACAGACCATCACACTTCGCTTTCTAGAGCCGCCCTTCAGCCTGGTTTGGGGTGGGGGTGTCCCATTTACGGGGAAGGGGAGTGAGGCAGAGGCAGGAAGGAGTTAAGAGCTGCCCAGCCAAATCCTGGAAGGGAGGAAGTGGGGGAGGAAGTCCACCCCTCAGCCAGGAATTCCTGAAATCAGAGGGTGGGGTGGGTGGGAGCTCAGGAGCAGTGGGGTGACTGTGACGGGGGAATGGAGTCACAGTGTCACTTGGAGTCCATTTGTCCCAGGTCATAATTCCACTGCCCCCTACCTCAATCCCAAACCACTCCCCAGAAAGTTCCAGGATGCCTTAAGATTTGGATGGAGATGACCACGGGACCCAAGATGCCACAAACGGGGTGCAAGGTAGAGAGGAACCCCAGGGATGGAGAGGGAGCCACACAGAGGCAGACGCGAAGGGTAGGAGGTAGGTGTTCAGATCCCAAGAGAGATGGAGACGGAGGCAGAGAGACCCACGGAGATGCAGCGCTCCGCAAGAGGCAGGGCGACAGAAGCCACAGAGACAGGGAAGGGACTCAGAGGCACGGAGGGACAGGAGGTGGAGAGAGAGGCAGGGAGAAAGAACGGGCACAGAGACGTGCAGAGACACAGAGGGCGAGTCACGCCGAGGCCGGGGACCAGCGCCGCAGAGACGTCAGACACCCGCGGGCGATGGGGACCGACCCGGAGGCAGCCAGCGGCGGAGCTCGGGGACAGCCGGCACCCGAGAGGGGCGGCCCGGGACGGCGCGGGAGCCCCCCGAGGGGCCGGGAGCCAGGAGCTGGGCTGCGCCGGGACCTGCACCTACCTGCGCGGCGGCTGGAC